AAAGAGGGATTCCACCGATACCGATGAAAAAATGGCGAAAGAGTTGATGCCAGCGTTTAGCCCAGAATTCTGTAAGGGATGCTGCATACCAAGGTTTGTCGAATACTGGCGGCCACTGGCTAGGGTGTTGACTCAATACAAAGATTCCGAAGATGCTCGCAGCGTCATAGCAGATTTGAATGGCACAGTAAACCACTACTCCGGATAGGAAGGATATAAAAGTTGAGCGGGAGTAACGAATGAGCGGTGTTAAGCTGTCATTGAAAATTGAACCTCCTTTGACTGTGCCAAACGTATCAGGTCCAAAACTCTGCACAGAGTAATGCAAAAAATCAAGTAGTGGAATGTGAATGGCAAGTGAGGCGAGTGTCCATGAGACGAACGCGAATTTTGAGGATACAGGACGTGTCTCGGAAGGGATATGCAAGCCTTGGGACCAGTCCCATCCGAGACCACGAAGTCCAAAAGCTAGATCAGATGCATCTAGGAAAATCTGTGTTTTTCTTGAATATTTTCCGTGGAGGTGTTGGGATCGTTTGAGTGGTCCTCTGTATGTTGCCCAAAGTATGACTCGAAAGCTTAGTGAAGTCATTGCGAGCTATGGCGGGTATGAGCGTTTACAAGTATCATAAGGCAAACAAACATGAACATACCACCATTCCTTGGTTCAAGTAGACCAATCTGTCGTTTCCAGAACTCAAGTCAAGGTCGACAGCAGCTCTGTAGGCGAGTAAAAGAGCGAGAGGTAAAAGAGCCAGTCGGACAGTACGAGTGCCAGAAATACATATTAAAGCAGCAATAATATAGTAAATGAGAATGGGTGGCAAAAATATACTGAAAAAGTTTGAAAAACCGAGAGCTTCTTTGGCCATCACGGAAGGAAAGAAATATCAATTAAGCGCCCAAAAGTTGTCCTTGTCGGGCCGCCACAAGTCGGCTTCGGACTGTTATCGGACTGTACCGTATAAGTATCTTCTCTTCCATATCCATTTTTGCTGCTCAGAGAAGGCCGTCTGCCAGGATCTAATAACCACCGCATTCCAGATGTCACTTAGTTATACCCTTCTAACAGATTCTTTCAGGCAGTCTGCAACTTGATCCATCCTACCTTCGACCATGCAGAAAGACCCCTCGACCGTCTGTCCAATTCACACTCTTCCCCCAGGTGTTTTGGGCCAGATTTTTGCAGCAGTATGCTCGAACGATTACTCGTTCAAGGTTTGCTGTCCTAGCACTCTGAGTAATGATAGCCTGCTGTCAAGTCCGACCTTGCTCTTGACCCAGGTCTGCTCTTCCTGGAGATCCCTCATCTCTTCTCTCCCAAATCTTTGGTCTTCCATTTCCATAGAGTCCAGACACTTGTATGGTCGACCTGCATTAGCAGCCCTCGTTGTTACCTACATCTCGCGCTCAGGGAGTGCCCCTCTGAAATTTCGGCTCGAGTCTGACAGCGCTGCTCCCGAAATCGAGCTGCAGGTCTTTGACCATCTGCTCAGGAATGCGTCGAGATGGAGCGATGTAGTTATGCATGTCAGCCCTCCGTGGATACAGCGTGCGGCTTCCAAGCTCGAGTCGCGCTTACTCTCCAATTCTCCTGCCTGCTTTCCCAATCTGGAGTATTTTACTCTTCGAATACACTCTGAACGCAGCATTGACCGAAAGATGTTGCAAACCCTCCCTGCCCAACTCATCCATTCTTCCCCGAAACTCAAAAGCTTTAGCGGGTTTGGCTTTAACCTTTCCTGGAATGGGATTGGCCCTTTACCTGGTAGTCATTCCTTGGTGACCGGGTTGGTCCTGGATAAGTTCACGGGAAGGTCTCTAGCACATCTACTCAGGGGTTTCCCCTTTTTAAAGATGTGTAGCATTGGTGGCTTTGAATTATCGGACAGCGATAACCATGCTGCAATCTTTCTTGAGGACCACCTTTACTTATCGGAAATAACTCATCTGTCCCATACTTCACCCTGGGACACATTCCAACGAGGTGCATGGCAAAATCTTAGGCTACCCAATCTGGTTTCATTGGAACTCCATTACGGTGATCACTCCATATCGGAACTTTCCTCTTTACTTTGTCAGTCGCATTCCCCGCTACGTGAACTTGAACTGCACAATTTCCCAGTTGCTGAAATTATCAGACTTCTTCACTCTGTTCCGACAGTGGTGCATCTCCGTGTCTATTCAGATGCCGAGCTGAGCTTCTTCAATCAGCTTACTACTGGCTTGACACTTTCTTCTTATTACTGTCCAGTTCCCAACCTCCTTTCACTCGAACTTCGCTGGAACGACCACCGCTATAAGCGACTGAGTGATCCAAATTTCAAGACCCTACAAATCAGCATCCGAGACGGCATATGTGGAACGGTAGATTCCCGCTCGGTTTCCAAAGCAGTTAGTGCTCTCAACCTGCAGAAGCTGGCAGTTCAAATACGGGATGGAGACTTTCTCGAGCTAGAATTGCTTTATGAGATGCCAGAGCACAGACTTTCCTCAATGGATTTAACAGCTTTTCAGCTTCTAGACACTTATCATGACTAACTCGATTCAGTAATTTCTTAAAGTACTTTTAGGCTCGTCATCATCTGCATACTGGTCGTTACAATATGGAATCTTTATGGAATCTTTACGGGTTGAGAAAGCGTACAAGATATACCATAGGTATCCTAATCTTCGACGGTCGGATATCGGGTAGCAGCACAACGGACGAGTCAAATTCATGATTACATACTTACATACTCGCCTTTTACAATCTCGTTGATTCCTTAACGAACCGGGAGTGAAAAGCTTCTGAGATGGCACAGTTGAGCACAAAGAGGGCAGAAAAAAGGAAGAAGGGAAAAGAGGTGATACACGAACAAGAAGCGACCATACCAGTCTCCACCCGTCGCGGTTTCTTTTCGCGTTCCTCTACTGAGGAGGCGGCTGGAAACTACAAAATAGCATGATGATTAAGTTTCTCGAAGCAAACAACCATGAAGCACTCACCCAGGGGGAGGTCCACCAAAACCTGGTGGAGGAGGGAAAGGCATATTTGCAGGGAAACCGGGCGGACGGAAACCGGGAGGTGGACCAGGCATCCCTGGAGGGAAGGGCATCGGTGGACGATTCATAGCCGGAGCACCCACTGTTCAAAATAAAATGAGAGGGGCAACAAGATGTCAAATAAAAAGAAACAGACTGGGAGGCATCATTCCCATTCCGCGACCAGCAGGCATTCCACGGCCAGGTCCAACAGGCAGCTGTAAAACACGAATATGAGATGGATCAAATATCGCTAAGAATCGAGCAACGTACGGAATTCTTTTTGTCGTCATCTACGACTGGTGGTGGACCTTCAACTGACAGACTAACAACGGTCTCCCCTCGTAAGATAACCAACCCCAAAGTCCTTTTCAACTCTTGCTCGGCTGGTGCGCTCTCGTCTCCGGGTTTCTTTTTTGGTCTAACACGTCTAAACTCTTCACATTCTGCAAGAACCAGGTTCATATGCTTGTCGAACGCGAGCATTTGGCCGGTCAATGCGCGACCGTCATTGATAGTGACCTTGAGTCTCCAGTTGATGAGACCGAGCATTTTCCCGCCTTTCGATTTCGGAGGAGGCTAAAGGAAAACATGATGAGATGAAAGGAAGAAAAAAACAAAAAATTGGACAGACCATGATGGATGTTTTGGGTAGAGATGGTGCGTGAGAATTGTCCAGTTGACTTGGGCTTCTCAAAATGGCCGACGAGAAAGGTTTTCATTTTTTTTTTTCCTTTCAATGCTAGCAACGTCCTGACCGTTATCAGTCCTCATCGGTGTCATTGGCGGCAGTGGCCTCTATCATCTGAATAATATCACTTTTGTGTAAGTCAACTTTGCGCCGATTTATCGGTGAATCTCATCTTTTCTCAGAAAACATGTCAATCCAGAGACAGTATGTCAACTCTTTGAAGATTGAATTTAGTCTTCAGTTTTTTTTTTGTTAGCCTTGGGGATTTCCTAGCTCCCCCATCAGTATTTGTGCCCTGCCATCCGGTAAAAAGATCGCCTTTCTTGCTCGTCACGGTATAGGACACACCATCCACCCTTCTGCCGTTCCTTCGCGAGCAAATCTTGCTGCTCTTAAGTCCCTCGGAGTCAAGGCCATTCTTGCCTTTTCCGCCGTCGGCTCTTTACGTGAAGAGATCTCTCCTGGATCCTTCATACTTCCTACCCAGATTATCGATCGCACCAAAGGTGTCCGTCCAGCTTCCTTCTTTGAAGGTACGTCCATCGTCGCCCACGCCTCCTTTGGCGATCCGTTCAGCAACAAGTTTGTCAACTGGCTCGAAAGCCGGGTAAGGAAAGCACTAGATGCAGAGGATAGAGGTGTAAAGCTCTTCACAGACAAGTGCATCATTTGCATGGAAGGACCGCAGTTCTCGACTCGCGCAGAAAGCTTGATGTACAGACAATGGGGAGGAGATCTTATCAATATGAGTGTCCTGCCAGAAGCGAAGCTTGCTAGAGAGGCAGAGCTCAGGTAAGCTTGCTGCACTCGAATCTTTTGTTTCCTCTCTTTTTGACTCCATTATCATGTAGCTATGCTCTTGTCGCGACCGCTACTGACTACGATGCGTGGCGGCCAGACGAAGGCACAGTCACGACTGCCGAAGTCTTTAAAACCCTCACCCAAAATGCCGAAACTTCACGTCATGTTGCTGCAACCATCCTCGACGATATATATGAAGCTTTTGCTGCTGATGGAGATATGCTGGAAGAAGTCGGAAGTATGAAGCTTTCTATTATGCCCCGTTCGGAAAAGCAGAATCCACAAGACTTAAGGAAGCTGGCATTTGTACTCCCAGAGTATTTTTCCGATGAATAGATAAATAATATATAACAGGGAGTACTGTTATCATTCTCATAAGCTCATAAGTACAATAATGTAATATGAAGGATACGTAACTTATCTGGCTTTCAAAAATGGACTGAAAAATAATAATAATAATAAAAACTATGCCAGGATGATCCACTGGACACACTGGGAATTGAACCCAGCACCCCCCGCAGTTGAGCAAATAAATGCTAAGCGGATGTGATAACCAACTACACCATGTGCCCCTATTTATGTACCTGCAACTTTTCTATTATATTGCTTCCAAGAAAGCAGCCGCAGAAATCAGGAAACCAGAGTAATACTCTGAGAGAACCACAATGTCCTCGTCCACGTCGCCCTCACCGGCTTTGATCCTCTTTGCGCGCGGTGTAATCGCCAGACTCGCCACCTGGGAAACCCTCTCTCTCGCCGTCCAAGAGTCCTGGGGCGGCCCTGGCGCCAAAGAAAAACGGACATGGATGTCAGGCGTCCTTGTGGACATGTTTGAGGAGAAACAAGCCAAACAATCGAGTTCATCTTCTTCCAAGAATGACACTCGAATTGATCCAGAATATGTCGAGGATACTTTGCTGCAGATCATGGCCGATGAATTCGAAGTACACGTCGAGGACGGCAGCGCTGAGGCTCTTGGAAAGGATATCGTTCGCTTATGGGATTTGATCATGGGTCAGGCGGCCAGTACAGAGTCTACTGTGGGCGAAAAAATGGTGCAGGAATGGGAAGCCCGCGCTGAACGTACCAAAGGACGTAAAATTCAAGCTCAATTTGAGGAAGCACCTGAGGAAGAGGGCGACTGGGAAGATGATGACGGAGAGGACGAGGATGAGGACGGTGATGTACTCATGGAACAAGATGAGGCACCGCAGCTCATTGACAGGCGGAAGGAACCAGAAGTTGACGAGGATGGGTTTACTCTGGTCTCACATCGACGAAAAAGATAGCACACACTATCCGGAACATATAAATTAGGCTCTAAAACAGTCCACTATGCAGATATCTGTTACTCGTAAAGTCATACGCGTTACATAGGTGATCCACCTCCTCGTTTCCTCAACTCGTTATCCTCATCATCGATAGAATTCGAATTTGATCGGGCAGCGTGCGCTTGAGCTTGCGCAAGCACAGGCTCTGAAAAGTGCTCTCGTAGCCGCTGACTCGCTTGTCGTTGGATCTGCATTAGTCATTTGTTAGAAAGAAACAGAAAAGAAGTTGTGGAAAAGCACCGACCTCTGCGCCCATAGTTTGTGTAATGCTGAACAATGGACCCGCCAACCCCAGTTGTATGATGAGATACCTGGAGCCAACAAATCTCAGTATATGAAACAACTAGAATCCTTGGGCATCCACTTACGCAGCAGCTGCGGCCATCAACAAAAACATGAAATATATCGGGTTGAATAACACCATCATGAACTCGTTCCAACCTAGAACTACCAACACCCCGTACATCCAGTATGGAATCTGCGCCACACTGGACACGGTGCTTCGCTTGGCCTCAACATACGCCAAATCCGCATCCTTCCGAAACTTGGCTGCCAAATCCAGCGCTTTCGTTTCCGAAAACACCGTCAATGAGTCCTCAAAGTCAAAGGGTTCTTCTGTTAATGAGCCTGAATCTGATGACGAGGCAGCATCCGGAGGAAGGGTATACGCCAATGAAGAATCTACTGGCACAATCTTGGAATATAACGGAATGAGTTCGAGGGTTTGTTCCTTTGCCTTCTTGAATGCGCCATCAATATCGTCGTCCGGTTTCCACACTCTTGGAACACCCTGCTCGTCATACCTAAACCGTTCTTCAAAGTGTGTTCGCAACCGGCCCACGAACACTGAATCAACAGTTTGTTCGTCGATTTTGGCTCTGAGAGCCTGCCATGCACGCCGACGGAGGACGGCGAGAGACTGCGCGTTTTCTTCTTCAGTGCAGTTGAAGCCTAAATCGATATGATTAGGTTAGAATGAACCACGCATTAAATTGAATCGCCTACTGGTCGCTTTAGTCAAGTATGCTGATTCGGCCTTGTCCAGAGTTTCCCTGAAGGCCCTCAAGATTGAGTCCCACATGCTTGGGGAGCCTTTGTTCAATGCAAGCTCCACAGGCTCTGATATCTGCTTCTTGAAATTCCGCTGTAACCCGAAAATACTCAGCAGAGAGCTATGGAAACATCTAGAATCACCTACCTCGATAGCATTGACCATCTTTTTCGTCTCATCTTTCCTGCACTGGTCAGCTACGCTCCTGACTTCTTCCTTCAAGAGAAGCAGCTCTTCTTCCCAGTTCCATTCCGCTTTACCCTCCTCAGAGTCATCCACTACGCTTTCCTTTGCGCCTTCCGTGAACTTGCTCTCGCACTTTCCCTGGGCTTTGCTCACGACATCGGCGAAATTGTATTCTTCCCCTTTTAGTCCATCCAAAATGTCCTTCTTGAACGCTCCGAGGCAAGCTTTGTGAAGATTCTTCAGTTGACCGAGGAACAACGGCGACAACGTGGCGTCAAGTGAGGCAATCAAATCTGCGCGTTTGCGTTTATATACGCCTTGGTGATAGCGCGAAGCATCGCGGTCATATCGCTCCAAGGCCGTTTTACGCCAGCTACGCATCATGCTGCCAAGACCTTCCACGACTTTGCCAGCCTCGATAGGTCGTTTCTGAGGTTTGGCCTGTTCGTTGAATTCGGTGAGAGCGACAGCGGAAATTTCGTCGCAGCGGAATTGAGCAAGTAGTTCTTGCTGGGTTGGAAGATCGAGATCCTTGTTATTTTGCACTTGTTCCTATAGAAAGATTAGGACGAATAAAAGTGCAACAGAAACCAACGCACCCATATGTTCTCCATGTAAAACGCGACACCATCGGCGGGGATTCGTTTGTGGTATAGTGGTTTGAAGACAAACCCTGGGTTCTCCTTGTCCACAAAACGCTCTCTCAAGTTGCGCGTTTCCTTTTCAAACTGGTCTGCCGCAAGGACCTTGTGCGGAAGTGCAGTGAAAGTGAGGTCAAAGTAATCAGACAGCTGACGGTCTTGCAACTCTGCAGGTTTTGACAGGGACTCCCATATTTTATGCATATCCGCAGTGAGTGTTGCCTGCAGGTTTGCGAGAGGGGTGGTTCCGATGTGGTCACGGATGACAAAGAGTAAGAGAGTGCGCCCACTTGTTCTAACATGCGCGGTTGGCACCAAGCACGAATAGAGAGGAAGATATGACGTACCCGTCTTGTGCCTTTTTACCAAAGAGCCCAAGATTGACCTCAAAAACGGTCTTGAGTAGCCCCATGTTAGCGCCCTGGTATAAACCAACTTGATGTTCCCATAAATTTATTATGAGCACTTCGGAGGACGCAAGAGAGAATAGGGCAGATTTGCGCTCGAAATCCTGTGCGTGTGGGGTTTAATTTAGCCGAAGCACATTGCAACAGCACGCACCTGGTCTTCTCCACGTTCTCTACCGTCTGTACCTTCGACGTCCATGACCATGATATTCGTGTCGTTACCTCGACACATCCAGATACCTGGAACGATGCTTAGCTCGGTGCAGTGCAATGTTACGATTATGCTGACCTTTAGTGGTCTGCTGTCGTTTAGTTTCGTCCATGACGTCGAAAGTGGTACCAAACAGCCTGTTCAGCAGAGTACCTTTTTTGTTGCAAACTTGGTCAATGACAAGACGTAAGAAGTACATGAATATTGCACAGACTCTTTCCAGTTGATTGAGAGCCAAAGACGGCGACAAGGTTGTAGTTGAAGCCTACATCTCGCAGACCCCAACGTTCAATTTGGGAGGTTAGCTCTTGTCTACCGAAAAAAGCCCAGTGAGTGCGTAAATGCCAGCAAGTAATGTAGACCAGTACGTGAATTTCTTTTCGTCATTGATGATTTGAAGTCTCTGTGAGAGAGGAGAATGACCATTCGCCAAAGGCTTGGTGAACGCGTCGGTTGCAGCTCCTGGTGAAGGAACAGTCATGATAGGTTGTGGAAGGCGTGAAGGACTCGAGTATTGGATATCCAAATTTGGTAACCGTGTCAGCTTGGGGGAATTTATCACGTGCTTTCTTTTTTTTCCAGAGCCCTTCATCTCTGAAATAGCCACACACAACAGCTATGCGTACGTTTTTCTCAGTTTTTTTCTCTTTCTTTTTCATTCTCATTCAATATTCAAAAGCACCCAAAAAAGCTAAGAAAATATCTCTAAATGAGTTCCTAGGAGATGGTAAACCTTTCATTTCTTCCCCATCTTTCCTCATTCATTATACCCATAATATCTAGCTCCTGGATCATGGGCCGACGAAATGGACAACTTGCCCTCAGCTCGTGAGTTGGCATTCTCGTAGCTGTATTCTTCTGTTTGGTCTTGATGAATTGTCTCTGAGCAGCTGCGATGAGGAGCGATGATGACCAAGGCCGTCAGAATGACCGCTATGGGCGTCGCGGTGATGACTATCTATCTTCCAGACGTTCGTATTCTTTCTTCTTCAATGGTCTTGTTACGACTCTGATCCTCATTTTTGCAGCTGATCGCGCCGCAGCACCACCCCGCGAGGATGTCCCTTTGCCCACTCAGCCCCCATATACGGCTTTTGTCGGCAACCTTCCGTTCGATCTGTCAGAGGGTGAACTCGAGGAATTTTTCGCTTCTTCCAAGGTAATGTTAACGCGTCAAGTGGAGATATATTGCGCTCGTCTGACTAGACACAGGCAAAGTCTGTCAAGATTATAAAAGACAGAGATGACAAACCGAAAGGATTCGGGTACGTGGAGTTTGAGGATGTGGAAGGCTTAAAAGATGCTATATCCCGAACTGGCTCTGTGAGGCTGTCTCTTTCGTTTCCCTCACCACCTTCCTAACTCACAAAGTATTGCAGTCGTTCATGGGAAGAACCATTCGTGTTAGTGTTGCAGAACCTCGTGAGTACCTCACTTTTTCTTTCCTTTTTCAAAAAAAAAATCACATTTTTTCACATTTAGCCAAGGAACGTCCTGGTGGGTTTGGGGGAAGCGATGATAGTAAATTTGACAATCCGTGGAGGCGAGACGGCCCACTGCCAGACTCATCGCGTGACTCCTCCCGACGTCGATTCGATGGTCCTCGCCCTGAACCTCTACCGTCTGTATCCGAAAGCGCCAATGACTGGCGCTCAAGCCGTCCTCGTGCAGCTGTTCCTGAGCCCGAAACTCCCACTGGCTCCATGAGAAAAAAGAACATTGGATTTGTCTCCGAAAACGCTGGC